TAATGATGATAGATCATAATGCATAGCAAGAACTGTTTCTTACCATGGTGCCTTGTGATGATAGACACATTCTTTCCTTTGTTGATGTTTTTCAGGTTATGTACTCTTAGACTGTTATCCCAGTGTCCTCCAGAAAACAGCATCCGAGAATCATGTGATACCACAAATAGGGAAGGAGTGATTTTGAGTCCTGGAGCAAAAGGTCCTCCAACCATTCTCCGAAACCTAAATAAAAAGATAATATAATTGAATTGAAAGCTACCACACTAATAACATGCAAAATATATTTATTTATATTTTTGATATGTTAATTTATTTTATTCTGCTACTCATTGATAGTATTATTTGTGAGGTGAGTTAAGGAAAGAAACATCATGAATTAGTTGGCCATTGACATTAAATTTGTATTAGAAGCTGCGGCTTCTAATAAAATGGTACATTACAACAGAGAGGATGCAGTTTCTATTAATTTATATGAGAAATAGTGAATTTTTTGTTGTCAATTGTCGAGTGCGGCTTCAATTAGTGATACAGCTTCTAATACAGTTTTTTCGGTACTGGTAGTTCTAATATGAAAGTTAAAATTATCCAAACAACTATTTTAAGTGTTTTCATACTAAAGTACTGTAAAATACTTAACTTTCACTTGTTAATTATTTCGCTGAAGGGATGGATGGTTCAGTGAAAATATAATCCAGAGAATATGTTTTTTTTGTTTTATGCTTTACATTCAACTCATCAAAAATCAGTGAAAATAAACTAAATACAAAACAACGGAAAAGTCTTTCAGCAAAAATTAATTCCAGCTTAAATAAAGTATTTCACAGTATCGAAGGTGGATTGGATGCTATCCACCATCTTGTACACAAAAAAACAATAAATCTTACTTTGGGCTGACAAGCGTAGGATCTCTTTCAAATGTAAAATAATTGGATATTATTTTATCATAGGGTAGCCAACCATGGATTCCTAGAATTCCCCTCTCACTCAGTGTTATCTACAAAGAAAAAGACGAATTAAATAAACCACAATGATGACAACCTTCCAACATTGCAGTACTGATTAGAATTTCCATCAAAATTCAATCTATCATTAGAAGAGGGACTTTACAATTCTTTGTTTAAAAAATTCCGATATTTATTGTCAGAAAAATGTTGTTGCAATAAAAGTAAAAATATACAAGCCATGCATGGCACAGTCCCCGTTAGTTATCAAATTTAAGATATATAGTTTTGTTTATAGTAATATAACTGGAATATAACCATGTCAGGAATATGATTTTTTAACATTAAAATGATTGACATTTGTATCTGATCGTCAAAAAGGTACTTGTCCATATTGAGTGATATTGCTCTGGAACAGCATTCAAAATCAGCCATTTTGAATACATGTACATATAACATGATGACAATATATAAAATTTGAATATAATCAGTTCAAAGCATTTAAAAGATATGGCTCTAGAAGCCCAATCATTAAAAACAAAATGGCCGCCAGTCAGCCATTTTGAATCCAATCTGAAAAATAAAATGACATGCATCAGGAACCTGTAATGTCTAATGTATGTTATAAGTTTGAACAAAATCCATCCATAAATGCCAGAAATGCTTGATATTTGATGATTTTTTTAGCACAAAAATAGCCACCATTTGGCCACTTTGAAAAGGATCGTCAAACCAATATATCCAGTATATCTATGACATGATGTATAATGAATATTAAAAATTTGAACATAATCAGTCAAAACAAGTCAGACATATGGCACGAGAACCACATTCATTAAAACAAAATAACCGCCAGTCGGCCATTTTGAATCTAATCTGAAAAACAAAATTATTTGCATCAAGGTCCCATAATGTCTAATGTGTATACCAAGTTTGAACAAAATCCATCTGTAAACAGCCGAGAAATGCTTGATTTTTTAGCACAAAAATGGCCGCCATTCGACCATCTTGAGTCAGATCGTAAAACAAAATGATGTGCATCAAGGTCCTATAATTTCCAACGTATATACAAGGTTTGAACAAAATCCATCCGTAAACAGCCGGGAAATACTTGATTTTGATGAATTTTATCACAAAGATGGCCGCCATTCGGCCATCTTGAATCAGATCGTGAAACAAATTGACGTGCATATGTATAATATCATGTATGATGTATGTGTGAAGTTTGATTGTGATTGGTCCAGGCATTTCTAAGATACAGGTCTGGACGCACGCACAGACACACGCACGCACACACACACACGCACGCACGCACCCATACACGCACGGACACACAGAGGTCAAAACACAAGTCCCCGTTTTCGGACTGTGTCCGAACGGGGACTAAAAAAGTTTGTTAGACCGAAAAGAAAACTTGTTTCTGCTTCAAATTTTCTTTAAAAAAAATGCAGTGAGATTTTTTTGTTTTTTTTATATACATGTAGTTTCTTAACCGTACCAAACAAAATTTTCAGAAATGATAACTTTTCACCATAAGAATCATTGGTAAATGGCTCAAAATCGTCTCAAAACTACTTTGCTGACTATTTTCATACACATTTTGTGAACAGCATCAAATAAAACCATATTGTAAAAGTAAAAAAAGAATCGCACGTGTTTACATATTCCATAAATACTAGTACATTTTGTACATACCATATTATCAGGCATACCATGGTCTATGAATGACCTAGACTGGCTTTTAGGTACCTGTACATATACCAGTGGGTCACTATCTGGGGTAGATACCTGCCAAATATAAGTCAGCAAAATACATGTAGATTAATCGCCTATCTGTGTAGCATAGCGTAACTCTGCATTAATGAGAACATGTAATATTTATAATATTATATTTATTATTACCATTGCCTCCTCCTTCATGCAGTGTACATATAATGTAACATATTATAACATTATTATACATCTGTCACCATTACGCCATAAGTTACATCGTGCCGTAATTTTGCGGTATTTTACGAGGTATTTGCATCCTACCATATTAGGAAATGCGAATTCCAAATATGGAATGATTACGCGCTTAAGCGTCCTCTATTAATAAAAACAAACATGGCTGCAACC